AAGTCGGAACTGTGTATAGCCACCCATCCGATCTTTACTACTGTAAACTTACCCCAGCCATGTTATGTGGGGCCAGGAAGTCGGGAAGGTGAAGGTGAGAGAGAAAGAGAGAGAGATCCCGAATCTTGGGAGAGAGCGAGAGAGGCAAGGACGTATGTATCATATTTCTCTCGTCGTCCAGTCCCCTGTATTAAATTCCACAAATATTCTATTTCTCATACGCACAGATTTTATTATATCTTTGACGATGGCTCGGCCGATCACGGTGTGACACATGTAGCGAAATGTCACATCTCGGACATACTCGAGGGCGGAGAGAAGAGTGACTCAAGGGGGTGGGCGGGCGGGGTCTTCACATGGTTTACCATGTGCAATCAAAAAGTTACACTTCTTAAATGCTCCTCTGGGGACTACCCGACCACGATCAGATGAGACTCCAAGGCCCTGAGTCGCAAGGAGCCATCTCTTCATTATTATGCGTCTTGTATTAGTTCTCTCGCCATCTATCTGGCCTTCTCCTCACCTACATACCCCTCCCATTCATACATCTTCCATCCAATGCCCTCGCCATCGAATGGGCATTACGCTACAGCGCATGACTGTACTGTACGCACCGAATCGTACCTACCGGCCTTGCCAGCTCCGCTTCCCTCACCTCGAGTTACCCTCAACCTGAGTTGAGGGTAACTCGGACACCGGTGGCCGTGGTAAGCGTGGCCGGGTTTGCTGGAGTTCTCAGAACAATGTTGGACCGGTGAGGCTCGGGCTCAGGGTCGGGATTGGGCTCGGGCTCGGGCTGTCAGTCGACATGGCATGGCAGGGATGGCATCATCGTCAGTGAGAGTGTGTCATCCTCATCTCATCATCAGAGAGGCAGAAAAGCGTCCAATCCGATGCAGGGATTCCAGTCGAGTCTACTCCAGTCCGGAAGGTCCACGAAGATTACCGGCAGCTCCTAACCGCCGACTCTCTCCCGTTCCCGTCTGCCTCTGCCTCGCCGAAAGAAACAGGTCCCCGATGACGCGCAAAGATCGACGGGCAAGACGCCGACTACTGCTACTTCTGCTCCTACTGCTACTGCACAGTGCTAGCGCCTGATCATTGGCAAAGCTCACTCACTCACTCACTGCCTCATTTTTCTTCTTCACTGCTGCTCTGTAACTTCTGCTGCTGAACTGCCGCTGCTGCTGCCGCTGCTCTGGCGGAGTCTGCAGCGAGCGAAAGCTCGGGAGTCCTCCTCCTCTGACTTGGACTTGGACTCGGGCTCCGCATTGTTTTTTATTGTGCTGGGCTTCGGGAGCCCTCGACGAGATTAGGTGCATGCATGTCACCTGTCGCACCTCTCCCCACCCCTCAATATTCTTCATGTGTGCGTGCATGATCCTACATTCCTAGGTCATTCCGTTTCACTTTTACCTTTCGATGGTCTCTTGTGTTGGCATAAATTGATGCTCGAATTACGCTCAAAATTGCTAGCGAAGCCCCCAATCTTGTTTCGCGGGACAGTTATTTACTTTACCTCCAGGGTGCTATCAATCCGCGTGAGTTCAATCTTTCCAGATTCAAGTGGATAACAAAAGAGTAGAGGAAATTGAAGACTTTTTACTCCTCTGGAATCCTTGATTACAAAAAAAATGTGAGGTTAAAATTTTGAAATTGAGATTGTTAAATAACGCATTTAACACTAAACATAACTACAAATTTTTGAAAATATCAAATCACAATTCATCTGTCTTTATATCATTATATTTTTTTAAGGATATATTTTTAATATGAAATTATAGAAAATTTCAAAATGTGTTCAATTTTTTTTGTGGAATTTCATCACATGACAATAAAAATTGATACAAACTTCTCAAAATATTATTCAAATTCAATTCAAATTGAAGATTATGTAATGCAAAATAATAAATATTTATGATAATTCAAACATATTTATTTCATGAAATGAATCTAATTGAAATTATTTTTACTCTCAAATCAAAACAATTATGAATCATTGCATATGAAACTAATTGAGTCAAAAAAACTTAATATCATCAGCAACAACAACACATTGTTGTTATTGTTGTTGATCCTTATAGATTCTCACACCTCATTTGGATTAACTTTCAAGACGATTGATGACTACTCTTAACATAACTTCTTGTACACGATAAGATCTTCGCATTAGGTGTCAAATAAGATAAAATCTCCACATTAATCGCTAAAAGAACAAATGTTGTCAACATTTATTATTATTATCTCTTGATCAATTTACTAATAACATGAGTATGTAAAATTGCTTCAAAATTAGAAATTAACAAAATTAAATGATTAATGTATAGAAATAATAATACAAATTATTTAATTGAGTATCATCAATGAAAAAAATTTAGATTGAAAGTTGACCTAGACGTTTGACAAGATTCAAACTTTTGAAAAGATCTCATCAAAAACTATTTGTAGGTTTAATCAAATCCACGATTTGTCATTGATTGTAAAATCTATCTTACACGAATCTCATCCAATTTTTTTATTTTTAAATGCTAAAATTGTAAGATTTGATTCTCATGATCTCTACACTGTTGGTTTTGAAACTTTTTACCCCTAGCTTTAATCAATCCGTCAACGCAAATTAGACACGCTATATGCCAAAAAATCTCAAAAACCAAGACAATTTTAGATACCGTGAGTCATATCCACTCATCAATTTGTTTTGTTACTAGATTGAACATAGATTGAAGTAGAATATTTTTTGATGGAAAGAAATTGATGAAAGATTCAAAATTCAAATTTAAAATAATGTCAAAGTGATAAATTTGGATGCTTTGGACAAAATCATGGGTTGAAAAATGTGTAATGATTTGGAAAGTCCAACTATGATACCTTCATGTATAAGAGATGCAAAGTCAGCGTCAGATAATGTTCATCATGTTTCAACAAACAAGATTTATCTACACTTTTAATCAAGTCAACAAACAAACAGACAGGGAGTAGTTTGACAAAATATAGATATGCACAATTTGACAAGAGAAGTGGCTATTTGAATCATTTGTCTAGCTAGAAATGGTGCTGATGCGGTTGCTAGTGTTGCGTGAGAGTATTCAGCTCATGTGCATACAAAAACTTCGATTGATGTTCAAGCAAGTCACAAAGTCGAGATAAGTAACTGGACCGGAGTGACATTGGGGGACATGGTTCTCATATGTTGTCAATTTGTCACCGGGAGGAGGACGGAAAACCGGTCCCGGAAGTTGCACCCGATATGCTCCGCCACCGGGCTAGAAATAACACTCACTGCTCTTACGGTACCACGTCGTTGGATGCCTTGGCTGGGGGGAGAGAGCGATGTGGATTAAATCTCCTTCATCATCACACTTGTCACTGCACAATATCTTTCTCGTAGATACACTGAAGTTACCGAACTACCACCTCGGTCCAACTCATAAAGTCCTCAAGGCTGGGAAATTAGTACAAAATTCAATGAACCGGAAGGTCTCCATGCTCACCGTTTACTGAAAGGAATGGAAATTACCCTGCACAGTCATGTAAGTAATGCATGCAGCTTAGGAGCACGTGGGATAGGCGGACGAGGGAAAGGGGAAGGGGCCCAGTAGAGCAGTCGAGGCCGATGCCGATAACTTGTCGAAAGTTACTCTGGCGGGGAATTTTGCTCATCCTCCTTTGTCGTCGTCTATCTACTGATGTGGAGGAAAGTTCCTTCATCTACTGCTTCTGTCTGCGACGGAATGGGGCATAGTGGGAGAATCGAGGGAATCTGGGAATCAGGGAGCAGCGAAGCGAAGCAAAGAAAGCAAGAACTTCGCAAACAGGACTCGACTTAACATCTGCTTTACAGGTCACCCGCGGGGGCGATGACCAGTTCTGTCGCCCTGTGTTTACTAATTATCTTACACTAAAGTCTGACCGTCCTTATCATCATCATTATAGCTTTCCCGATGACTGCTGCGCTTTCTCCAATTTCTCTCTCTCTCTCTCTCTTGCTCTCCCTCGCCTGCCCGCTCCATGTGACCCGGCCCTATAGCCAGAACCGCAAATGCTGCTGCCTGCCTGCCTGATTGCCTGCGCTGCTACTACGAAGCAACAATTGAAAACCAGAAATAAAAAATAAAAATCGAGTGATATAGCAGAAGGATGGGAAGACCCCATCAAGCTGTATACGGGCGAAATCGACGGGTAAGCTGGGGCAAGGACCCAAAAGCTTCACACCGGAGATTTGTACTACCACAGACACTTCGGACGTCGTCGTGGAAACAAACGAAAGGAGAAGAAGCAGAAGGAGCCAGAACCACAAGGTCCGTACCAAGCTAACGAGATTCCTTGTAATGACATAAGGATGGTGAATTTGTTGTCCTTCTACACCTGAGATAGAGAGATATATGGGGGAAAACCCGAAAGAAGAAGAAGAATTTGAAGGAATGACAACCGTAATGCACATGCCAAGCTCTTCAGGTTTCCTTCCATCTTCATGCAAGGAGAGCAGAGCAGAGGAGAGAGAGAAAGAGAAAAAGAGAGAGAGAGAGAGAGATCGTGCCCCATGACACCTGGGCACGGTTTGAATGGAAGGAAGGAAGGAAGGAAGGAAGGCAAGCAAGGGAGAGGAACTCTGATGATGATGGGTGATGATGAGGATTCGATGAATCGAGAAAAGAGCAAGAAACCGGCTTTCAGGTCCCTCGGACTCGGGCTCACCACGCGTGTACCTTTCAGTTGCATAATAACACTATCCGGAACATTCATAGAGTGCAGTAATTAATATTTTCACCCTAAACTATACTTATAACGGGACCGTTATCGCTTTACCGTCCACGGCGATCCACCAGGCCCCCAGGGCCCCTGAGGCCGGGGCTGAGAAAACCGATGGTGCAGATCTGATCGAGGGATCGACGGGCCAGGTCCCTCTTCCGCGGTGACTCTCCACTTTCTCTCCGCCCCATGCGGATTCTACAGAAGAGGGCTATATTGCTTTATAAGGCCCCTACTTCGCTCCTCTCTCCTCCATCGCTTTAGCCATCACTTCGCTTCACTCACCTTCTACTCACTTCTTCTTCTACTCTACTACTCTACTACTACTCCTACTACTACTACTACTCTCCTACTCCTACTCCTACACTTCTTACTCCCTTCTACAACTTCTTCTCCTCCTCCTCCTTCTCTTTTCCTTCACTACCTCGCCAGTTCTGGCCTCAGTCGCTCGCTCGCTCACTCCCATTCCATTACTAGTAGTTGGTAATAGTTATATTACATCGACAACATCTACTACTAGCAGCAGCAGCAGCTGCCTCTTCTCGTTCTTATTCTCCATCTTGTACTACAACAACTTCATCTTCTACTACATAACTACTTTCACTGACTGACTGTCCTCACTCGTTGTCGGTCGGTCGGTCGGTTCAGTCCACGCCAGTTGGGAAACCGCTCTCTTCTCTGTCGTCGCCCTCCTCTCTCTCTCTCTCTCACTCGCTTGCTCGCTTGCTTTCTTCCGAGAGGAATTGATCGTCGGTCGGGTCGAGAGAAGTGGGAAATTTTGAGAGAAAAAGTGTCTGTCCGCACCTAAGCCTAGTTCTAGTTTTAGCATTGTAGCTGCTGGGCTAGAATTTGCCGGTCTGTGTCGTCGTCGTCGTCGACACGAGCAGAGAGACACAGAGAGAGCGAGAGATCTCGGGTGCTGCAGGGTTGTCTGGAGTTCGTTGAGAGTTCCGGTTGGGAATTGGCCTCAAGGTGGGCTGGCATCATCATCATCATCATCCACTCTAGGTACATAGACCGAGGGCTGAGCGAGCTACTGCCCTACCATCATTTTCCCCCTTCTTCCTCGTCTGCCGACTCCCCATCCTCTCAGTTCGTTCCATACATGTACCGTCGTGCAATTACGGTGGCAATGCGGGGAGTGACACTTGGACCCTAGCCCGAAATTGACGAAATCGTATCGAAGGTGACGCCGGTTGGAGAACGATAGAAGAGCTCAAATGCAGTATTAGCCTGATTGATTCGGTAGATAATCTTGAACATTCATAGTTGTTACACGTAGTGAATCCTGAAGTTGGCCCCAAGGAATAACCATAAACTACTAGTACTACTACATACGAAGGATCAATTTGAAGAGAGTGAGACGACTTGAGCTAGTGGTGGTAGTCAGTCATGGCCCTCACAGCAAATCCTGTACCGACTTCGGTCCAAGACGCGAAGTTGCTTCCATTTCACAGCAACGGCAAGAACGAAAGCGATATGTGGGATTCATACGCCGACAATGTCTCTTCTCACGTGCATCATGGAGAAGACACATTGACGGGGACGCCGATGGGGACAGTGGATCACCAGCAGCAGCAGCAGCAGGACAAGCATTACCCTGCTTCGACTTCCGGACTCTCTCGGAATGCTTCGTTCGATTCTGTCACCTCTCATGATTCATGCACGGCATCTTTTTCGACTGGATCTCCGGTAACAGTGCTTCCGCCTCTACAATACACATGTAGCGGCACTGGCATGGACAATAGCCCATTGAACATGTCGACCCATGCTGGTGCCTGGCCCAACAGTTTTAACAGCTCCAACAAGAGATCTTCTCCTTCCGGGTTGGAGCCCTCGGAGCAGCAGCAGCAGCAACAACAACACCAGCAGCAGCAACATCAGGAGTCAATTGCAGTCGACAGTTTCTGGATCGGTCACGACCAGATGCTGTTGTCTGAGGACTGCGAACCACTTCTTCCGTCCCCGGTGGGAACCGGGACCTTGTCGTCAATGCTGAACGAATTTCCTTTCAGGTACGATGACCAGGCGTGTGCAAGCAATTGCAACGATTACACTTCGGTGAACGATTTGGAATGTCTGGTGCCATCGTCTCTCAGAACGAATGAGCCATCTCATGATCAGCAGCAGCAGCAAGTGGTCAAATCTCCTGAATCAGTCGGGAACAGCAATGCCCATAGCACCTCCCCTGGACAGCAGCAGCAGCAGCAGCAGTCCCAGCAAGATTTCTGTCAAGAGTTCCTCGTCGGAGGAAGCGAGGTGTATTCCGAGCACAATGCCAGGAGATCTGACGCTTCGCTCTTGTCTCCGCCAGCAGCTCGCCGCCGTCTCAGCTGGTCCGAGTACCAGGTGCCCGAGCCACAACGACATCTAGCGACGTCGGAGGGCCTGCACTTCGCTGGCTTCGGCTCGCAAGCCTACGACCACCAGCAGCACTTCGTGCCGCTGGGCGACAGCAATGCCATGGCGCCGCTCCTGCCCTTCCGCGGCAGCAGCTGCACCGTGCAAGACTCGGGGGTGGGCGCAAGCGTCGGAGGCCTCAAGCGCCCGTACTCGGCGATGATGATGCAGCCGCAGCAGCAGCAGCCAGCGTCGACTTGCAGCATTTCGTCGTCGGCGCCGACGCTGAGCCACAATTCGTATCTGAGCATATTTCCCAGCGTCGGGCCCGCGGCTCCCAAGAGCGCCATGAGCAACATGGCGCCCATTCTGAGCGCCTCGCACGGCAGCCACCACCACCAGGACGCGGCGGCGCTAAGCGCGCTGCTGTACAAGACGCAGGGCAGCAGCGAGATGATGCAGCAGCTGCAGCAGCAGCAGGGCCAAGGCACCAGCAGCTCGGACTCGGCAGCCCGGCAGCTGCCGCCTCCCAAGCTGCGCCGGCGCCACGGCACGGCCACGGATCCGCAGAGCATCGCCGCGCGCACGCGGCGCGAGAGATTCAGCGACCGCATCCGAATTCTGCAGAGCCTGGTGCCCAACGGCGAGCGCCTCGACACCGTGTCCATGCTGGGCCACACTCTGGAGTACGTGCGCTTCCTGCAACATCAAGTGTGGCAGTTGTACAATGGCAACGACGAGCCGGCCGTGTCGGCCGATTCCGAGTCCCGCGAGAAGTGGAAGGAGTTCCTCGACGCTCAGACCGTGGTCGCTTGAGCCTTGAGCCTTGAGCCTGCTTCACGAAGAGACTAGAGATTCCCACCTGTCGAAGAGCTAGGAGGAGGAGGGGAGGAGTGCTCGCTCCATTACACATTTTACTCATTACATTTTACACACACACACACAGACTCACTAACACTAACACTACTCAACACACACACACACTTACACTACACTTACACGCACACAAACACAGTTGCACTTGGCAGTTGGTCACTGAAATCCTTAGAAATTTGGAGGCTCTCTCGAAATTTCTCCATCACTCGAATCACGGCACGGCTCGAGTGAGTGAGCGAGCGATGGAGACGATAGATCCGATTTTATGTAGTAAGGTGATGCATGGCATCGCATCACGGCCAGGGGACCTGCTTCTTCTTCTTCAGGCTTTGCAGACGGTCTCCAATGGAGCTTCTCTCGAGGGCTGCTGAAGAAATCTCGGCGTTCCGCGGGACCAGTCAGTCGGTGGGTGGCCTGTCCGTCAGGTGTACCAAGAACGAGCACGAGCACGAGCACGAGCGCCGGGAGCGACGAGATTCATTGCTCCGTTGTGACCCCGACGACACGATGCAACAACAGATGCAGTAGGCCAGCATACCACTCAACACATTTTTTTTCGACATAAAATTCATGATTCATTCTTTCAGACAGACACGACAGACAGAAGAGGTGTACAGAGGTCCTCGAAGAGCTGGGGGATAAGAGAGTTGATTGCCGTGGCTCGTCCATGGCATCGGTCGACCCAACCCAATATACAGCTACAGCTACTCATCATCAGCAGCAGCAGCAGCAGCATCGACAATTATTTCTCGCCAACATTGTGTATGAGACGTGCGGCACTTGGGGTCCACCATCGTAAATTTGAGTTAGCACTTTGATTCGGCCCTGCCCAGAAGCGCTGGACTCTTTCTTCATGACTCTCTTCGAACGACGACGAACGAGCGAACGACAAACGACGGCGACGACCACCACCACCACCACGATGGATTCATTGATCACTCTTTCGAACTTCAGTGGAAGAGCACATTGAGCGCCCTTCACTACAACATCAATCACGTACGTCGGTCGATCGATCGATCGGCAGGTCGGTCCCGGTCGGTCAGTCACAATCATGTCAGCTCAAGCTGGCATCTATCCTTCTCCGACCCCGAGTTTCGAATTCGAGTGCGAGTCCAGGCTTCTGTGCAGGCCCTGCAGTGGTGGACCACGCGAGGTGCTTGACAATCCCGATAGACAGACAGACAGAAGACAGACGGATTAGGCCTTTACGACGATGTTACTCTCAAACTTAGCTTTACACTTAGCAGCTAGCAGCAGCAAGTAGCGCAAGCAAGCCGATTGAACGATGTATGTACATCCATGGCCAGCCACCTGATTGTAAATATGTACAAAGTTGGTCAGCCCTCCAGCATCCGACGAGGAATAGCCTTGTGCGCGATGATGCCAACTGATCTCTTACACATTCAGAAGACAGTTTGAGTAGAAACCTCTATCCCATCAGGTTTCAGGGCTGGCACCTGTACATTTACGATCTCCAACTCATTGACAAGCAATGCAAAGCAAATTAAAATGCACATCTCGCTCTCTCGCTTCGTTCTCGTGGATAAATGTTTCTCTCTCTCTTTCTTCGTGCGTCCAATTGATTCAAGCAATGCAGGTCTGATGGGCCCAAGATTTGATTTTCACTGCGTTTGAAGGTTTCATCGTATTAAGTGCAGTCCCAGATGTGCTTTCTTACGGTTTCCTGCGCACATGGTATTCGCTGCTGCTGATTTTAGTGAAGGACGACGATAGGCCTTTGGGATTGTTGACACTCTTCTCACTGTAAGGACCGGAGCTGGAGTTCGTTCTTTCATGTCCATACATTATCGATGGTAGAGCCATGGGATCAAGGCGATGTCTGTACCTTGCTAGCATCGTAACATCGGCTCTCACAAACACGGCCGACAATAAAAAGTAAGCGCCAATTTGTGGCTGCATCCCTGAACTCGTTTATGCAATTCGTAATCGCAACCGTCTTCCAAATCAGAAGGCAGATTCGAGGGCTGGGCAACTCTAGAGAGCCTGAAACGTGGAAACATTGATCTGTCAATTAATCAATCAATGTGGCCCCGACTCGAGCTCGCTTGATTGATTGGCACTTAATTCACAGTTTCTCTGAAGCATAAATCCTTGATCGCTGAATATCTTGTGGCGAACGGTAAACAGAGCAGCCAGTCCAGTCCAGTCCAGCTCGTGCCGACAATAGCTGGAAGGTATTGATTGATCTTCAGACTCGATTACCATTTTACACTCGAGCGTTCGTTCTGTGTTTCAGCTGCCGTGCCGTGAATTGCATAAAAAACTGAACGACGGATACTCTGGGATTATGATTATTTGTGCTCACTGACTCGACTGGCAATATCCTACGCCGTTTTGCTCAGATCGTAAACTTTGAAAGATCCTTCGAGCTTCCTCCTCCCCCTCCTCCTCCTCGTGCTCCTGCTCCTCATTCTCCTGCCCATCATTTGAAGTCTCGGTGCTCGCTCGGTCTCGTGCTCGTAGCCGCGGTGGTACCATCATCAGTACATCGTCGACATCGGCTGGCGCTTTTGCAGGAAACACAGACACTGAGCCGTACTAGCTGACTGGTTACCAGCTGTGCAGCGGTGCAGCTCGGTCAGACTCGAGTCTACAGTTTTGAGGCGTCGAAGATCAAATCAGATACAGGACCTCAAATCGTGGAAGGGCCTTACATGGAACCAAAGGAGCCCTTACGCTGGGGACTCTGATTAGCCACCTCAGACATGAACGAGTTGCGCTAGCGCTTGCGCCTTCACAGATGGACAGCCTGAGCTATCTATCTATCTATGGGCTTGGCTGATTTGTCCACCACATCGCTCGCATCCGAGGCTCGGAGAGTCCTCAGATTCTGCAAGCCAATTCGTTCATTGTAATGCAATTCGCGGAGTTGGGATGATTGCAGCAGCCACGTGAGAGGAAGAAGACATTGTGAGCTTGAGCGTGTAGAGCGTGAGTCACGATGATACGTACATGTGAATGGACGTAGAGGAGAGAGCAGACGAAATGTGGGGAGTCGCAGTCGACATCGATCAACAAGAATAGGGAGGGGCGATGGATTCGCTCGGGCTCTACTGTTGGAACGAGAGCAGTGCACAAGAGAACAGAAGAGAACAGCACACCGTAGCACCGCTCTAGGACCGGGGATCCAATCATGAATTTGTCCGTCTTGCATATGTTCATGTGCGCGTTTGTCTCGGCGAGCGATGTAATGAGAGCGATGGGAGCTCAGGGGATGTGAACATCGTACTGGAACTACACAGAATCGCGGAATGTCATGAGTATATACCAGAGGATGTTACAATGATCATGAGGCTCGTGGTGATCTTTCTCACCATGATCAGACATTGAATTCTGATTTGGACTATTGCTTGGATTACGGCACATCTCAAACTCCCAGTCGTGATGTTTGGACCGAGTCTCATCTTTTCCAGCTTCGTAGATTCGTTCGGGTGAAGTGAATTTTAGCTCGATGGAGCTGAAATTCAGGCATGGGCAGACCAATGGATAATGTCCGCAAAAGTCAACTCCTTGTAACCTCGGTGGTGCAATCGCTCGTGTGCCCGAATTACATTACCTCTCATCGATGTCCAGCATCAACTCGAGGCGAATCTGCGAGCAAATGCTCGGCTCGGTTCGCAGCTACGGTTCTAGCGGAAGAACTTATTCATCATCGATCAGCATGGGATCGACGTCCTGGATCTTGACTTTTTCTCTTTCCTGTGTCGGACTCATATTCCCCTCCCAAAAGCATGTTCTGCTCTCGAGCAAAAAGGGCGCTTCCGAACTTTAGCTACGCTGATGATAACGATCAGATTCTTTTCGCAACTTGATTCACTGATGATCATTCATTCATCAACACTGGAGACCGGAGTTTGAGTTCAAGCTGCTTCTTCTTCTTCTTCTTCTGCAGCAGCAGCAACAGGAAACCTAGAATGAAATTAAAGTGTCATACAATTGATTGAAATATTTCTCCACGAGCCGTGAAACTGTTAATCTGCCCGAGATCCATGTACTTCCATGTACGCTGTACCGAAGTTAAATATTGTAGGCGATTCATTAATCAAGCGATCAAGGTGGCGCGCTCCTCTACAGAAGCTAAGTTCAGCTAGGCAGCTGACTCTTGCTTGTAGAAGGCAGCAAACGAGAAAACAAACGAACAGTAGGACCTGGAAGGCTCTCGGGAATAGGCCGAGTTCGAAGGCATGAAATAAACGATGTTTGATAGTCGATTGATCGCTTGCTTGCAGGGGAAGTGGGTTTTGTGAAATGAGCAGGCATGTCCATGTGACACGTTTTGTTTATTGCGCCAATGCATTTGATTCCAGAGCATGCTATGGCTTGGGCACAGAAGGCTCGGCAGGCTGTGGTGAATGTAGTACGTAAGAACTCACTCTCCTCCGTAATCACCTCCCGAATATGGGAGAAATTTCCCGACGTAAAACTTACTTTTTTGTGGCGCATGACAATACAAACACAGTGCCGCAGCTGCTGCTATTACAGTCGTCTAGTGAGATGTGGAAGCTATAGAGACAGACAACCAACAATAGGCCATGGACTTGAGCGTCTAGGAGCAAAGATACGGATCAGTGTAAGAATGTGCTCACTTGTGAAAGTGCCGCGAAACTCACCATCAGTTGACAATAATCTCGTTGCTCATCGAGCTTACGAGCCACTGTCAGGGATCCGGATCCTCCCCGAGGAATGTTCTCTTTCTCGGAACTTGCCTCGCAACAGCCACTGCGCACCCCTGCTCATGTCAGGTCAGGTCAGAAATCAGCGAACCTTATCTGGAAGTACGGCCCGCCTATTTTTAGTCCCCAGGCCGTACTTTGGTTTGTATGTATAGGTTGGACATGTCGATCCCAGCACGCCATCTCTTCTACTCGCCAACTCTCTCGGGCACCTTTGCAGTGCCAGAAAGAGCAGCAGCAAAACGCTTGCTGTTCGAGGTGTGCCGACACGTCTGTGACCAGATTTCAGAATTGCACGGCTGTGCGCATTGTGTTCGTTTCTGATCCGAGGATGAATGACATGTGACCGTCATGTGTTCCATGACTGTCATCATTGTGATATAATGATGATGGTGATGATGATGATCAAAGTGTTTGTGCTTGTGCTTGTGCTTGCATGACTGTGGACTGCTGCTGCTCCAGTATAGTGTGATGTTGCCGCTTGATATATGCCGAACATGGAGGCTAGAGCCACCACCTCCGATCTCTCCTGACTCATTCTGCCCGACCACATTTTTGCACCATGTCGAGCAAAATCATTCCCGGTACAACAGGTTTTCGAGCTGCTCGGTGGTCATCTTGGAACCCATGGATGACGCCAAGTTCTTTATCAGGCATTCACATTTCAGTGCACTCCATTCCACTGTAGTCGACTTGTCACATCTTCTCCACCTGGAGAGTTTATCATGTGTCAGGCTCGAGCTGACGAACGCGAGGCTGATCGCGTTTTCACTAAAACGCGATCAGCCTTCGATAACTCCGATGGCTAAATCAAAGACGATTGACTGTTTTTTTATCACGAAGAAGTCGAGGAAGAAGAGGAGATCACCAGGAGGAGTAGGAATAGGATGAGGACTCGAACTGCTTGCTACCACTTCTCTATCTCCATGAAGGTGATCGGACCAGTTCTTGAATACGCAGCAAATGCAAATGATCATATGGATCGAAGATAATAAGCAGTCTAGTATCTGGGTGTATCATCTCAAGCCATTTGTCGTAAAACTCTCAAGTGTGTGCATGACAGCTTAACGTGAGCTAATAACATGTTCATGACAGACACAATCCTGAGTTTCAATATATACTCGCACCATTTTTGGGAGCTCCAGCGCGAGGCTACATAATTTTGAAACCACTAGAAATACATCAACCACCTTCGAAGGTAATTAAATTGATGCCCGTTGTGTATGGACAGCAACTACTGCGTTTTGGATGAGATAAAGAGAGGTTTCAGCAGGCATTAGCATAAGTGATCAATATAAGCCTTCGCATGTTCCATTTGTGAATTAAATTCATCAGATAAGGCGTCTGCTTTTCGCGAGGATAAATTTATGATAGCTGAAGTAGAAGTTATTGTAGAATTCTTTAGTTGGACGTGACGTAGAAATTAGAACTTGGTCCGCTAATAATGTCAAAGGAATATGAACCACCGTGCGCCTTTAGATGATTTCGTCAGATGAATTTGTTGTACAATATCGTGATCCGAAAAGAATGTATCTTTCTTAGGTCCTTGTGGTGTTTGATTGTTCAAGATTTGTTTGATTGTTTAATTTGTGTGAACGCCATTTTGATTATCTTCTACGTAGCTTCCCTTAAATCTAAAAAATTCTCCTTTCTCGCACTGCCCTAATATTGCATCAATGGACTCGCTGAAATGAATTCCAAAGTGAAATGATGGACAAACTGACGACGACTGCATGCGATGTTCTAATTATCGCGATGTTCCAGCTCGGAATTAGGCATGAGCTCAAAGGTGTCTAGTCTTCGATGATCGCTGATTGCTGATTTCATATCGCAATATACATGATTACAGATAAAGTGGTAAAGATTAGCTAAAAATGCACTAAAAATTTATGAATATGATGAAGTCAATTACGAAAATTTTTCTTTTCAATATATCAGGCACTATCCCAATGATATGACCAAAGAATGAAGACGAGGTGTTTAGTACAAGAGACAACATTGGTAATTTATAGTGAGGCATGTCCTTCTTACATGAAACGGTATTGCCTTTGGTTGAATTCTCATATCAAGAGTTTTACTTACAAGTCTTTGAAGGATTTTGTGACATATAACATTTAAATTTTGAAGATCCAGAAATTGGTCGCTTGATTCATAAGAAAGTACTCTAGAACTTAAAGATATCATTTTAGGTGCTTTTCATATGATCTTTGCTCAGATTAGGCCAGTTCTATGATCGTTGATTCTTGATGACAAGCATGTGTTGACAAGCTACCTTGAAGTATAAAATTAAATGAAATTACTGCCACACGACTGAATGATAGCAAGAACAGTAGATAGAATTTCAATCTTGAATTTAAATTTATAGATCATTGTCAAAATAAAATTAAAAAAAAACACCTAGCTAAATATCATATTTTGTATATTATATGATTTATTTAATTTTTGAAGAAATTTAGAGTCATACTTAGAATTTTTGACCTGCACCTATAATTTTTTAATAAATAATGAATATTTTTTAAATTAATCAATTTTTTCACATTCATTCTGATTGATTCGGAGGTTTTCTATTTTCACATTACCATATATCCAAAGGGTGTAATTTGCAATAAATTTTGCGCCAAAGTATAGTTTAATTTTGATCAAAATCATCTATGAATATTTTCAGTATTTTTCTGCAAAAAATTTCAAGTTTCTTCTGCTTAAATCAAAATATGTCTCTTTGTATATTTTATGAATTTTTTCAAAAAACATTTTCTTACCAAATTAAAATCAAAAAATCAAGAAGAAATCACAAAAATATTTTTAAAATTTTCATATTTAATCTGTAGATTTTTTGCTATAAATTTGTACAATTATATAAAAAATTCAATAAAAAATTTGAAATATTTTTTAAAAAATCGAAAAAAAGAAATTAATGTAGACATGTTAAAATTAGATCATATAAGTTCATGATTTTCTCTTTGACATCGAAGATTGGATTCAATTTGAATCCAAATAATAAAACATTATGTGTAAAATAATTTCAAGATGTCAAAAAATTTATCAAACATGCATATTTTATTTGTTTCTTAATCCTTATGATGATTTTTTTGGGTAATGATAGTTATATATATAATATGAATTTTTTTCCATCAAAATTTGAATCTATCAACTCTTTAAATTCAACAAAGGTGCGTTTTTTTCATCAAAAATTGAATCTATTAACTCTTTAAATCTAACAAATGTTTTTTATTATTGAAAAATTGTATATTTCACTTCTCATCAATCCTAACTTAAGTCTAGTTTATGTTATAGCTTACTTTTATAAAGAATCTTGAGTATATTATTAAGAATCTGATATATCCTATTTGTCTTTAATAAAGATTACAGCTTCTCAACATCATAGACATTATTCAGGTCGTCGAAATCATCTATCCTGAAATTTTACACACACATGGTATGGTAGAATCTATAGATGTTTTTAAAAATGTTTTGAAAACATAGAATATAGGATTTTTTTTAAATGAATTGTTAAAGATACAATATAATTAAAAATATTTTTATTACAACAGATAATTACGATAAGAGTGGTATTCATAAGTTTCATCTTACTTCATGCTAACGAACGTTACTACTCAAATTACATATATTTAAATGTAATTTTTTATTTCAATTGTATTATAAGTTTTCAAGTGTAATTTATAATGATGAAAATATTTTGTAAATTCTTGTTATCAATGATGTTAATATGAACCTTCATCAAATGAATATTTAAACACTGATTTTTTTTCCTAAATCAATTATCAAATAATATATATGAAGTTCAAGGATTCAACTAAATTTGATCGTTAAGTGCAAATCATAATGAGTTTTAATTGTGTGTGATACTCAAATAAAAAAATATGAATTTTTTTTTCCTTTTGATCATTTTAGTCGTGATTTTTTAAAATATGATTTTTTTTAATATATGAAGTAAAATATAATTATTTTTAAAAAATATATAATAAATATATGATTTTTTAAATTATGAAAAATAAAAATAATTTTAATTTAATATTTTTAATGAAAGAACTTTACTAAATATGTCCATTTTTAATCTAAAACATTTTTGTAGAAATATTTTATTTCTATGAATTTCATATCCTGATATCTTAAAAGACAAGAAAGGAAAAAATTTGATTTGATTATCATGTGTATTTTGTCATATTACGATAAATTTAAAGCGTATCATATAAGTCATATTTTTGTTATAAATGTTTCTATTCCATTATATGAGTTCATTATGTAAACATGTATTTATTAGAAATATTCGTATTTGAATGATGTATGTGAGCTTTGCAGATACTAAAATGTATAGTTACTTAAAATATGATTTAGTTTGCATAGCTTTATTGAGAGCGATGTTTTCTCTTACAATTTTTTATTCATCCACAACCATGAGATTCTCATTAAAATTTACATTAGAATAATCAATAAATTTACTTGTCTAGACTTTGAAAAATATGGAGCTTTGGATGAGGACTTCAACACGTCGGTGATAAAATTCAAAATATTTTTTCATTATAATCCACATGTGAAATCATCATTAAAAAAAGTTGAGAAATGCAATCCATAAGATTGAAATGCAAGACTGTTCGTGGAATACTCTTGTGAACTATAGTACAAGTTTTAACTTGTGCTGCTACCGGGGACTAGTCCCATCCTACATATTCATTTCATCGGTGCATGACTTGATGGGGTCCTCTTATCTTATTCTTTCCATGTTACTCGGTTTTCTCGAATGGAATGAATGTATGGATGTGAGAGTGCATAAAGTCATGTGGTTTTCATGTTTCTCATGTACGTTACCCCTTATCGCGAACCTTTAATATGACTGTCCACTGTAACCAAAGGTTTACGCACATGCTCGTCACAAACAGTAGTAGAACCGACCTAAATGATAAACATGATGATGCATATCGTTTTGGAATGGAGTCATAGTTACAGAAATGAGCACATTCTAGTAAAATCACATATTTATCATCGGGGTGTGTTCCCTAAACCCTTGCATCAGTGAAGATTCATGCAACAGGGAGTCGAAGGGAAAGCCGGGTTTTACTCGAGCTCTTGTTTTTCGTGTGTGGTCCTTGGGGCCATTCGACGTCCATCCGCGCATCATCACATCTGACAGCGAGTCTGACGTTCCGTGCTCGTGCTGGCCGTGCGGCCCTGCCTGCCTCGCCCGGCCGCCCGGCCGGACAAGAGAAGAAACAAGCCGGCACTCGGGCAGCGCACACGGACGTCCGCCTGCCCTGACCGTGTCCGCAACCCGTCCCTCGCTCCGCGGTCCCTCGCTTCCCTCGATCGCTGCGTGCCCGCTGAGCTCCGTCGCAAGAGACACAGCCCTCCCCTGACCGGTCGGTCCCGTCGTCGAACACGCAATCATTTCTCTCACGCGACACGCGTCCCGTCCGCAGCCAGCGGGCGGGCGGGCGGGCGGGCGGGCCAAATCCGGTCGGGCGTTCTGGCGGGGCCGATCCGGGCCTCCATCCATTAACCATTAACTACCCTCGTTGGACAGGTTGGAGTCGAGCCTGAGTTACTTGAGGACCTCACGGGTTCCTCATGTGCAGTGTCGGAACGCAAGATGCGAAGTCCTTAACGGACTCGGAACTCGGGACTCGGGACTCTCCATTCTCGAGAGTCGGGACTCGAAGGAGGAAGGAAGGAAGGGAGCGGAACGTTCGGAGGACACTACAGTCCCGTACAGGTAGTAGAGTACCCTGGACTCAAGTGTCGAAAGCTCGGTCGGCATTTTTAAGAGTTCAAGTGAGTGGCACTGTATTTTCCTGCTTTTCCGAAATTCGGGTCTCTCGATTGCAACGCAGTCTAACGCACGCCCGCCCGCACGCACGCATGGAATCAAACGAGTTCTGGCGGGAAGGGGAGCGATTGGTGCAATTGAAGCCCAAGAGGACGAGAGAGGGGTCGAGAGAGGGCATGGGGGATGCCAATTCTTGTAGCAAATAATTGGAGTTCCGAAATCTCTCTCTCCCAACTGTTGTTGCTCTCCTTTGAGATTGTGCTCCTACTACTCTGCTCGTCGTGGATCACGGTGGGATGCACAGTGCAGTAGTATCTTTGGAGTTGACTTGACTGATCTGAGGTCTGCTTCTGGTCTGTTCTGTTCGGTTCGGTTCGGTTCGGTTTAGTTGAGTTGAGATGACATGTGGTGAAGTCTTTGGTGCATGGGTGAGCTTTGAGGAAGGAAGATAAGCTTTTGGACATTCTCTTTTGCTTTCTAATATTCATTCATTCATTTAGGCAGTCATGCGTTCGGAGCTTCAGATGTCGAGGAAAGGAGGGAGGGAGGGAGGAGGAGGACTTGGAGTTTTACCACTCCACTCCAGGAAGGGTTTTATAATCGTGTACTGTGGTGTCATGTGCTGTGTCTGAACTTTTGGCTTCGGATGTCGTCGACTCGCGAACCAATAAATGAATGTGAGTATTTTGCATGTGAAGTCCATGCCTGTGGGCTCCTCCGATGAGGTTCAAACACTGCTGCTGAAGTTGCTGCTGCTGCTACGAGGGAGGGATTGAATGCGTTGTTGACCCGCCAACACGTGCCGACGATTGTTTTCCACGACGATCGATCCAAGATCGACTTCGAAGGCTACGGTAGGCACCATTCAACGTTCTCGAATCGCCATAAGTCAACTGGCCCGTAGCAATTTTGCTCACGAGCACATGCGCTACGACTTCCGTCGCTCTTCTTCTTCTTCTTCTTCTTCATCGATTTCAGTTTTCCTCTACTCTATTCGTGGAGCGACGACTGCACAAGAGGGCGACCGGAAGTCGCTGATCTTCATCGATCTTAGCTTTTCCTCCTCCTCTGGTCTCGTTGCTCCACGACCGCTGCAGAGGAATCAGCCAGAAAATCGATGCTTCATGGAGAGGTAACATAAGACAGTTCGGAGTGAAAGCAATGCACTCTGGAGTATTGCACACCTCCGAGGATGGATGCGAAGCTGTGAGAACCGTGTGTTTGTCACGTGCAAGATTCTCTGCAACTCTCTGGATCAACAACTTTGGGACCGTGTAAGTCTGTCTTATAGTGAAACTGCGTTTGAAGTATAGTCCGTAGATCACTTTCAACAAAATTCTTCCGAGCTCCGGGACATCCATCCGTCCACTCTCGCACCCGTAACCGCTCGAATTAAGCCCAGGAATCTGACCGAGGTCAGATTTTTAAGCAATCCCGCCGTCCAGCCAGTTCTGTGGGACAGATAATAAGTGCTGACGGAAGAGGGATGAGGAAGAACCAGCGTGCGTCAGAAACATGATCGCCTTCTTTCATGAATGAAGGAAGGAATCTGAGCCTCGATTCGGAAGGCAATCTCACACCCTACACTTTGCAAGAGGTTGGACAGTTCGGAACCCTGAATCCCGATGAAATTCTCCAAATCAGAATGTCAGGAATTTTGACGGGTGGTTATTCGTGTTAGCATCTCAAGAGTGGGCAGACTAACGAACGTGGTTACGGGAAAAGATTTCATCAGCTTTTGGAGACCTTCGTAAGCAAATAGCGACTCTCTGCCAACTGTTGCGGTAATGGTGTGAAGGTGGCTGCTTCTGAGCGTGTGCGGTCTTCACGTGTCCCATACAAATACGGAGAGGCCTGACTCCTTTTAATTGCCATACATCTTTTCGATCACAATTAAGTCCAAGTTACGCTGGTTTTTGGTTTATCCCTGTCACGTCCATTCCGTGCGTTCTGTTGGCCTATGTCAGATTTCGCACTCTCTTTACTCAATTGTTTCCTTTCCTCAGAAACAGTGCCTTCGGATTTGCAACCGCTTATAGTGTGGATAACCTTTTCTCCCGTCCAGTTGGAAGCGTCCGGCTACGAGATGATGACATAGAGACTCGCTGTAGAGTGCTCCGTACCGGCATGCACTGCGGGTTCTGGCCATAGCTCTGACGTCGGATGAACCGATAACTCGCCACCGCACTTTACAGAATTGTCGTTCTGTTCGCTGACTCACTCCGGCATATTTGATGAAGACAATTGATGAATCTCTTGCCACTTTTTGGGCAGGCCCAAGGCGGCATCTATCTTCTACCGATGCTCGAAAGCGTCAACAGTGATCTGCAGCGACTGTGCCGAGGAATTTCCCATGTATGAAATCGTCAGCTCACGTCATCTGGTCGTTCTTGCATTTTACGAGGATGTTTAGAGGTTAAGGCAACAGTGGTTTCGCAGGTTTCGGAAACAGCAAATGTGCCAGAGCTTTTGCTTCAAAGGTTAGCAACGGTGTCAGTCCGTAACACATAATGGCTCGTCGAGTGATGCATCGAGCGAGCACTACTCTTCTTCTGAGGTCAAAGGTCAACCACAATCGCTCTGACTGCACTGCAGTCTTCCAGTTTCAGTTCGGCGATCCAAAATGTCTTGGAGCCCCATGTGCTTCGGTCAAACAGCGGGTAAGTCATCGTTGAAGCACGAGAATGACCACACCAGAAGACCCAGAGGTACGCAACACAGGCTCGTCAGCGATTGAGCTGTCCCTGTGAACAACAACTACGACAAGCGCTCGGCTTCTGCAAACATCTGTATCAACTACATTTACCAGATACTCAGCTTCGAACACGATCCGAGGTCGTTGACGTAATCCAGGAATCCTGGCTTGCTCCTCACAACAGGGCATAGAAAAGTAGATCCCAAAATTACCACATGAGAACTACAGAACATCCAAAGGGAGCAAGACGTGCTTTGATCCCCGTAATCTACGTTACAGTGCCTTGTGAACACATGGACTCCTAGTCCAAAAACTAAATTTCTACTATCAATTCTTCAGGGAATAATAATGCCTGAAAGCAAAATCAAGAGCTGTGACAACAATCGGTAGCTTTGCACTACGTTCCAAGATTCCTATATCCTACAGACTGCACACCAATGAATGAACTATTCGATAAGACATGAATATGGGTGGTCTCTTATACAGATATAAAAATCATCTGCTGAGCTCACCCCACTGTAAGGGATCGTAACTTGAGTAGTAAGGTTCTTCATCAGTCACGAAAATGCTTGCTAGTATACCGAGTACGCAATCCTTTTAGTGGAAATTAAGGATGCTGACACACTCACGTTCGCACTTCGACGTGCGAGAATCAAGTTGCCGAAGCAGGCTGTGCACCCGTCTTCTGCTTTGAATCGGAGTTGCTGAAGTTAGTAATGAAATACAAATATATACCTGATCGAATGTCGATATTGAACCAAGTTGTAAGTTTTAAGGTTGAGCACAGCCAAGTGCTACAGTTGAAGTGGCACTTCCACAATGCTCAGTTTCTTGAAGGGACGGCCCATAGATCACGAGATTGTGGGCCACCAACAACACAACACGGCTTCTGCACTGCAACATCCGATCACATTCCCGAACGACACGTGAGAATGAGCTTGGAGGGCTACGAACAGTGATATACATTTGAGACAACTGATCCTTGTATCGATAATTTCTTGCACCTTATTCACCACTCAAGAAGAATACACGGAATGTATCTGACAAATCTAGCACCTGTCCAGATGTCAGGCTGTGCAATCCACGAACGCACACACAATTCCGCCAGAAACAAAAACGACATTGTCATAACCCTTTGCACGAATTTCAGGCCTTAAGAAGTTTTACTGCCTGCATACACATTCTCTTATAAACCCTGAAAACATGACAGGACAGGAACTTCTTTTGACTCGTCGTTATACACGTAGCAAAGTATGAAGAAATCAGGGCAGCACCACGAGTTTTGTATTTCAGAAAATGAAGCTCACCTCAAGGTAATATTACAACCTGCGCTGTTCTCCCTCTCCCTAGAGGGATTTCGCACTGCCAAAAAGTGATGACAGAGAATGGGAACACCACAGCATCATAGAGAGGGGGAATTTGGCGTCGTTGAGGTCATCTTCGCGGGTGATCTGCGCAACCATTGAATTCTCAGAACGAACTCTTCTCATCAATATTTTCCTGTGATCGACTTCTCACCGGAAAATTATCACCGTCAGTGTATACTTGAACCATAGTTGGCAACGACAGTGTGAAGATTGTTTTAGAAACTACAGGAGATAATCCACCATACTGTCGTTTCGGGGCATAGTCGGAGGCTGTTGAAGAATGATTATACAACATATGAAGAGAAAGCTCGAGATAATTCAGGGTAAGAAGACCTCGGAAGAACAAAACAAACGACGCGCATCATTCTTACTCTCGAAGAAAATATGCAACTTACTTGTGCCCTTGGCCTCGGTACAGGATCTGAAGACTTAGCAGGAGTGGTGGACGTGGTGGAAACTTCTCTCTCAGGTACGGTCTTCCTGTCTTCATTTCCACGAGCAACTGCACGAAGTCTAGGCACCTCCTTCTCCGTGAAGTTTTGTTTGGAGTCCTGGGACCTGGAGTGGACATCGCTCGCACTTGCTTCAGGAGCTGGGATCCAAGATGAGCTCAAGTCACCGCTGTATGTGCTCAGTGGTACGGATGCCTCGTCTTTCTCAGCAGTAAGCCTACCGAGTTCTTGCGCTTTGAGGTTACCCACGGTGGGGTAGGTCTCGATCGCGCCAAACGATTTGCCACCATGAGAGATGATAGGAAATTCTGATGATATCTCTTTCCTTGACGAGTCTACAGTCTCAGGGCTCTTATGCAGCGTGGCTACGTCGCCACTGGAATCAAATGTCGACCCCTTACTTGCACTTAAGAAGTGATGGCTTCCCATGGGGTGAATTTCTCCCTCCGTAAGAAAGTCTTCTTTCCCTTTTGCAGCTACGTTGGCTTTGTTCAGGCTGAGAAGCTCCTTCTGTAGTTTATCTGGAAAATAAACTGACTGCATACCCTGGAACTTCGAGTCAATCGGTACTTGAGAGTCCTTCGGCGTCGTATCCGTCGGCAAACTGGCCATCGGGTGATCAGTCGTGACAACGTTTCTGACAGAAGTATCTTCTTGTCCACTGATCTCCTTCTGCTCCACGTCTCCACCCAAAGATTCAGTCTTTGGAACGGCGGAAGGCCCTGACATCCGAAGAGCCGCATGTTCACTTCCTTCGGAATCACTCGGAGTAGGGAGGATTGAGTGCTGAAGGAAATCTCCTTTGTAAGAAGTGTCTTCCTGACGTTCTGCGTTCGCAATAACTTTCTTGTCATCAGTTGTAAAGAGAACTTTCTCTGCGTCGGTAGAAGCCTGCAAAGACGTGTCCGTTTGCAAAGATCTTGCCTGGCTTTTGCTGGCTTCAGGTACCTTCACTTCAGTTGGTGTGTCTTCCATTGCAAGCGAATTTTCGCTCTCACTGACATGTCGGATGAGATCTTGAACCTCGGAACTATGCTCGAAGATGATGTCCTTCAAGATCTCTAATTCCCGAGGTACATCTGGTGTTGCCTGAGGGGATACTTCAAGCCCTGAAGCTGCCTCGCCCGTTTCAATCTCTTTCTGCGAGTCTCCCTTCAGTGAATCCCCTGAAACGAGATCCTCAGATTCGGGCGACTCGGCCCTATCTGCTGCGAGAGATAATTCGCTGTTAGATTTTGGTGTCTCAGAAACCGACGCCTCTTCCGCCTCCCCAGGATGTCCATTATCAACAGCTTTTAGCTCCAACATATCGGCTTCTGCACTGCTTTTGCTTCCACCAGCAAGGTCCTCATTGACGACAGCACCAAGAGACATGTCTGTGAAAGCAGTCTCAGGGGCCTGTTCGTCGTGAACCGAAGTTGATTTCTCGAGTTCGTGGTCACTCGAGATTGAAACTACCCCTTCTTCTATCTGAAGCAAATCAGAAGGTCCTTGAGCTAATTCCGCCTTCCCCACAGTTTCTAGGTAGTCTCCGGAGCCAGATCCACAACTGCTATCGCGCTCTGAGAGCACAGCATCTCCAACATCCGTATCTTGGCGAGACAACACAGAACTTTCTTCTTCTAGTTCTCCTGACCTTCCAGAAACAGAAGTTGACACGTCTTCTCGACTAGGTTCCTCCAGCTTTTCCATTTCGTCTGTAAATTGCTGTTCCTGTGGCTTACCAAATTCAACTGTTCCAGAGGAAATAGACGAAAGTTCATCGTCTCTGTCATTCGCTATTATGAAACCTGATTGATGCCCTGGAGATTTAAGAGCATCTTGCTCATCCACAACAACTTCCTTGGTTTGAACCTTATCTGATGCAACAGCCTCTTCCTCCAGGCTAGATGCATCGTCTGTTTCAAGAACTTCGGGATGAATCTTGGCTGAATTGAGAAGACCTGTCCTGGTTGCATCAGAAGCTGTCTCACTAGGTGCATCAACTTCTGCTTCAATCCCCGCAGCCTGCTTTTCTTCCACAGCCTCCAAACCTGATGCTAGCCTATTCTCGTCGCTGCTTATAAATTTTGAAACCACTTCAGAATCAGAAGTGGAACCACATGTATCATCAGCAGTGTTCAATAGTTCATCGCCCCTTTCGGAAACCTCTACGGATTGTGGACTTTCGACTGAAGGAGGAGTTTCTGGTGGCTTTGCTGCATCCGTATCAACTGGCGTTCCTGTATCTGTCCCTGCAATCTGCTTCTCTTCAGCGGTTGCCAAAGCTAACGCTGGCGTTTCCTGCTCGACTTGACCCAGCTCCTCTGGTATATCAGGGGAAACAGAAGGTTCTGCTTTTTCAGCACCTTCTGTTGCACCGCCCTCTGTCAAACCATCAGGACTGTCGACCGATATGTCCTGTTCGGTGCTTGTTGCATCCGTATTTATTTCATCAAGTGATTCGACATCACGGACAGCCTCTGCTTCCTGCTCCCCTTCTCCTGAGTGCACAATCGATGTCGGTTCATCAAGCTCATCACTTGCTTCTTCCGCGTTTTCATTTGAGTCATTGTCCACGACAAGCGAAGCATCTGTATTGTCGAGAATGTCAGATGCTTCCACCGTTTCCAAATTACCAGAAACTTCGCGCATGGCAAGAGAGCTCATCTCCATAGTTTCCGGATCTTCACGGCCAGGCGTCTCCAATTCACTGCCGGTCTCAACAACGTGCTCTTCTTCTACGTCCTCCATTCTCGGTGCGGGTGCGTCCTGCTCCTTTGACATCACTTCGACAATCTTCTCTACATCTAAATTCGGATGACTAGATGTATCTATGAATTCCCCACCTTCAGTTACAACATCTGGTTGCTCTTCTCCACTCCCCGGCCCTGCAAGCTGCTCTTCCTCCGCCTCCGTACTCGAGGCTGGAGCATCAAGTTCTGTGGCTCCTTCGACAACCTCGTTTGAGTCGTGTGAGGTTGTCTGAGCTCCGTCGGTGCTTCCCACGCCTCCATCACCGGTAGTCGAATCCTCGATAGAATCGGCCGAGGTGGATGGACTCAACATGCTCTCATCTGGAGCCTCGATTTCTCCTTCTGATGCTTCCAATCCTGGTGTCGGTGCATCGCTTACAACCTCTACAATCTCCTCTGCATCATTCAAAGATTCTGCAGGCGGGACTAAATCATCCACAAGCCCATCGCCAGCATCGAAATCCTCCACCAATTCGGTTGGATTGGATGTGGTTGTTTCTGTTCGATCTTCGACACCTCCACTCTCGGTGGACTCGTTCGTTGGAGCAGCCTGAACTGGCTCATCTCCGTCACAGACATTAGACGATTTGTCTTCTTCTTCGGAAAGAACACGGTCGGCTTGTTCTTGAGCTTCATATTGGGAGTCCTCAGTGCCAGAAGGTCTGGCTGCGTGGTTTTCAGCTAAAGCTTCATTGGTGCAATCTCTTTCGTCAGCATTCATGGTAGATAATATACCATCATCAAAGGAGACCGTGGGCAAAGTTTCACCCGCGGGCTCACTGCTGTCGGCTGTAACAGAAGAATTCTCAACAGCTTCAGTGTCCACGGTCTTGATGTCGGGTTGTGCTCCAGATTCTGATGGGGACACCTCCTCTCCCAACTCTACATTAGTATTCGTCTCCACTGAATCAAGCACTCCCTGTTCCTCACCTCCGTCATTCTGTGAAACGTCGGGAACCAGATCTGTCTCCGAATCCTTCACGCTCTGGGATTCGCCAGAATCTTCGGGCTCCGTTAGGATTTCACTTCCTACATCTGGTTTCTGTACCTCGTCCTCATCAACTGCATCAGTTGAGCCTCTAATTGTTGATGAATTCTCACTGGTTACGACCTCAGATTTTTCATCCAAATTGTCACCTCGTGATTCCTCGGCTGTCGATTCCCCACCTGGTGATTCGATCTCTGGTACGGGTCTCGCAGTGGGATCCGCTCCATCACTTTGAAGACTATCGTCGACCTCTTCACCCACCAAAATTGCTGCATCATCGCTGTCAGTTGGTGCATTTTCATCTTCGGTTTGCTCCGAATCTCCGACATCTAACGTGCTAACGTTAGATGTCGCTGCACGACCTGAACCCTCCTCTGCTGAGTAGCCACCTACCGCTTCACCAACAGCATCCACCGTATGTTCACTCGCTGGTGTATTTTCAGAGTCACTTGCGTCTATCTCTGCTTTCTCTACGCTCTCTTCAGGCACATTGGGTACTGCTTCTTCCGGGGAAATCACATCTTCTGATAAGAAAGATCCCATTTCCATCCCTGAAGTTTCTGATTCATCCACACGATCATTCGCCGACGAGCCATCGACAGGTTCTACCATCTCTGACTTTATGTTTGAAGCAGAGACATCCTGTCATAAGTCAAAGACACGTCGCACAATTTCTCAGTGCGATTGAAAAGCAAATTGTCGTCATCCATCTTGGAGAGGTTGCTGTATCTCCCTGAGAAATTTCCAGCGCGATAGTGACCACAGTTCAAGAGTATCAGAGAATCACAGTCACTACCAAAGGACAGTCTCTACCAATGCGGAAATCAGAGAAAACGACAAAGGATTGCTCTTATGTAATCGCTCGCATTGTATCGGAGGCTTCACACATGATCGAACTTATGAAACCAGGCATACTACTCTAGTTGAAGATAAATCAAAATTGCATTTAGCTGCTGCACCTCGACGTCTGTAGAAACATCTTTAGTAGCCGCAATTTTTGCAGGCTCCATCTCAGCCGTTCCATTATCCATGCTTCACCCGAATCAATTGGTGGAATTCAATCTGCCACTCCTGCCAATAAGCCGCAAAGATGACTGAGAACGATTATGCTAAACGAAGTACCTAAACAAATTCGCAAGGCAAGGCCCGAAGACTCCAAACCAACCGATCAAAGAATCAGCTCAAACCCTTTGGCTCAAACGCAGCATCGAGAATGCGCTTGACAGTCGAGAGGCTGAAAACACCAAGGAACATTCGGAATCACGACCTGCAGTTAATCTGGAGGCAACTAGAGCGGAGACGACAACAGAAGAGAAGTTTTCTTCTCTGGAACAACCGGGGTGCTAAAAATCGAAACACCCCAAAACGGATGAATCATCTAATATAAAAAACCGCTCGACAACGTGAGGTAGCCTAATATTATATGACATGAGGCAACAATGACGGCGACTATTACGGAGTTGAGCAATCGAGGAAATTGAAAGAGCAATTGCCCGTTTCGGAGTCGACGTTACAAACTTCTCACAATCGACACATTTCTGCACCCGGAAGGGCCCGACCATGAAATGGCCTTCTTAGAGTGCGAGTCGAGTTAAACTGAGATCTCTCTGAGCAGCGACCCTGCATGTACTCCACTTGACATCAGACATGTCCTTGTCCAGGTGACTACAAGATCAAGGGACGGCTGATTGCGTACGATACACAGGTAAAAACTCGAATGTAGATCCACACGCTTTGAAGTGTGCTAGATGGCTGCCGGACTTGGGGAGTCCTTGTATGTAAGATGTTCCTTAGAGGATTCAATCTACGACGCTGATTCCGCAAAGGACATCGGCGACAGTTGAAAGTTTGCTGCAGTCTTTACTGCGAATCCCCTAGCGTCGATCTTTGAGCACACGGATTCATTACAAGGATGGCTTGAACGATGATGCAGCAACAGCGACATAGGACTACTCTGAGAACCTGGACACGAATGGGCTCTAGAGAATCGTTCGAAGATATACTCCAGCTGAGCTGGAGTAGGATGGGGATTCAAATGTTTGTTCCTATCGATGACAAGTCGAACTAACTCATCGGTCTCCATAAGCTGCTCAACGCTAGCGAACACGATGATCCTAAGAACGCAAACAGCTTACAATTCGGAACGGGAGAGTTTGCACAATTGTTGGAATGCGATTCAACAATTCATGATGGTGTCACGTAGCGCTTTCGCCAAATGATTGGTCCAATTGCGCACCAATCGTCGGACCCCATCCTCTTCCTTTGACACGAACCAGGAAAGCACACCCGCGGACTGCGACCCTAACTTATAAACACTTAAAATACCGCTTTTCGATCCATCATCCACTACGTACTTCATTCCTTCCACCCGAGCACGCAAGGCACATCCGATCCGAACACCGAGCTGAAGCAGCAGTGGTGACAGCACTGTTCTAACGATCGATCGCGGACCAGAACAGGAACACCTCTCCCTACCTGGTGGCAGACGGATGGATGAGCTCCAGCCCGGCACTTCAAGCAGCGCTCGCTTTGCCCCCTCCAGATTCTCGAAGGCTCCGTCCCTGCTCCTCACTCGAGATCCGAGCTTATCTCGTCCGTCTCTCGCCGAGCTTCATGCCATGATCCTCTCCCTCGCTCCGGTCAGTCTCCTCTCCTGCTCTCATCTCAATTCCGAACCCATCGTGGTCACCACTATCATCATACCCCACCCCACCACTGCGTTCACTTCCCGGCTCCTCCTCCGGGCCTGCTCTCGCCCTCTCCCTCTGCTTCTATCTCTCTCTGTTGCGAGATCCACATGGGGGCCGACGACAAACTCTCGCAAATCCGGCGAATATGCCTCGCGTCACTGTGTGCTGCAGGGGGGGATGCAGAGCGTTATGCGAGAATGTGTGGCGGCGTGGCCGCACCAAACAGACATGCTGCCACTTTGTAGCCGTGTTTTTTTTTTTTGAATGTCGTGGGAAAGTATGTAACGCCTGCCCGCCCGATTCGAACGACGACGACCTGCAAGAGCAATTACCCGTCATTCCACTCCCCCCAACCCCTGGCGCGTGCCATCATGGTCTGCAGTCTGACTCTGGTTAGTCCGCGGACGCTCTCTCTCTCCCCACTCTCTCTCTCTCTCTTACTGTCTCGCGCTCCCTTTTTCTAAAAGTAGGTCCGAGGTCCACTTGTCCCCGTTCGGAGCTTTCCGTTTTCGGCGTCCAGGTCTGCCGCGAACACCAGGCGCGGGCGATGCGGACACAGACACGCGGGAAAGGATGAATCCGACGACCCACCGCTCACGCGTCTTTCCTTCGGCTAGAAAATTTAAAAATTTAAATTCCTCATTTTCTCCTCGTCGCGAATTCCATCGGAAAGACGAAATTCGCGAATGTGGAGTCCAGTCGGGACGTGCAGTGTTGGGGGTTCCATGGCGCTTGTGGGTGGGTAGGTGGGGCCGTCGTTCTATTTGAGCTCCGTCGAGCTGGCTGTTCTCGGACGCCGAAGGGCTCGAGCAGTCAGAGTTCACGTGATGCTCAGAGCCCCGGACTTAACCGTTCCCACATGAAGGTTAAGTTTGGGTGCTATGCCGAACATATATTTAGCTCCCGATGGCATTCTTCTCGTTCCGATTACCTTCGGCTTGCAATTATAAGCACTTGCGTCAGAGCATTCGTTAGCCTCATCGTGACCATTTCTAATTTTGCTCTGGGTCATAAATCTCCCCACGAGAAATTACTCCCCTCTAAAATTCCGGTGGCGAAGAGAATCTGGATTCATTGTTATCAAGTTTTTTGTCCGCTCGTTCATCAAGGATGAAGTGTCAATTTTGGTGCACATGCAGTGGATGGGAGTTTTTTTCACACAGTACTCCAATCGCTGCTGAAAAGTTCTTTCAAAAATTTTTGCAACTTACGATCAATTGATATAGAATATTTTTTTGCAAAATATTATATATCAATTGATCGTGAGTCGTAATAGAATACATTAATTTTGTACACATGTAGATATACATGCAACTCAGAGACTCAAATAAATGTAACCAACAAATATCATTTGCATTGACTTAATGTATTTACAAAGCCAGCACCAACTTACATACAACCATTTCAGTTAAGAAAATACTAAAATATCTAATAATTCATTTATTTCAAAACTTATAACATAGTATTGTTTATGTATGCTCCAATCTTTTATTCAAAGTTAAATTTTATTGAGTATTCCTTATTTATTATCTATCTAGTCAATTATGTTTTGAATCATCAAACAATTGATGAATCTTTCTTCTTACTTTTAACCTTATCAATTACTGTAGACTCTTTTGAGTTATTTGTTTTATATTGATAGCATCAATGTAATAAAAAAAAACCCAAAAAAATGAAAACTGAAAACATTTAAATTTCAAGACATAATCTATTTCATTATATAAGTGCATATACATATTTGGTTGATCAACAAATCCAAATAACAATATGAAAAACTAAACTTAGAAAACTGGTTATCTTTAAAATCAAGCAAATTGTATGCTAACAATATTCAATAAATGTCACATGATCTTTATGAAAATCCTCTCAACAATTTGATATTATCAAACATAATAAGTATGATAGCTAATTTTAATTAGAATGTTGCATCAACATCAAATATAATATTTAATTGATTTAGATAAGATGTTGAAATCTAAATAATAAAAAATATATGTTTTAAATATTCAAAAAATGGAGTTCAAATAACAAAGTGATGATGTATGTATAATATTTATAATCTTCACATTTAAATTAAGTTTATGTCGAGGTTAACTTCTGTTAAAGAGTAATATCTAGACCTATCAATTTATAGCTAAGATGTTGCCTGGACTAGGGATTAAATACCGTAGACTTTACAATGAATTGCTCTCACCAAATCTTGAGTATAAGGTGTATCGGTGTTCCTGGTGGATGTAGCACTCCTCCTCGAGGTTGAACCACGTTACATCTATCTCTTATGATTGTTTGATGATCATAAGATTTTATAGTTACAAATGATATGAGAGTTGGTTCAGGTTCAGACTTTATGTAAGAGAAGAGTTCATGTAGACGGTTTTACGAACGTTGATTTATTCAACAATTTTTAGACGTGTTTTTGACCAGTGACAGTTTTTTCTGATGATGTTTTTGGACTAAGTAGTACTCAGATTCTTTGAAGTTTTTTAATAGTTAAAATTATACTGAGAGACTACAAATTAAATTTCTCGGGATTGGCGATTGAGAGGAATGGATCTGACATATAGATATCTATCAGCATCAATATCTATACTCGTCAGTTTGATTGTTGTTCCAACTAGACTTCTCGTGGACTCCTAAGAAATTTTTTCTTCAAAAGCTTTCTGATATTTCACAGTTTAGGTTATTGCGGTAACTAGAAGCTCTAATTGCTTTTTTTTGAACGCCTACATGAAAGCTCTTTTTGAGTTTCACGAAACTCAACCTCAAGCATATACTCAAATGTTATTAACGCACTGACAACTTCTGATGTCTTCAGATCTAACATAACAGTCTCTTGTATTTGATATTGTAATGACCTTCTAGTCACCCAAAATTGCACACTGAGTTTCTCCAAGTGTCGTGATAACATGTGTGCAATTGCTGCCACACTCTGAACATCATCGTCTTGTTTTCCAATCCTTCAATCCACTATAAAGTCTTTGATTTATGGCTGCATTTAAGCACCAGAGTTAAAGGCATCGGGGCGTAGACAAGATCTGTTGTACTTGGTTAGCATGTGAGCATGGAGTTCGGACTTCGGAGCTGGATCTGAAATGAGAAAATGCAAAGCATAGTGGTTGAACAATGAGATCAAAGATTTGTGGAGTCAAGATTTGTGAAACTCTCGACATAAATGCAGCTATTTTGCTCACGAGTTTCTTGACCATTTTGGTGTCTTTATCCGCTGTCAACGCCGAAGAGTTTGTATATGAAGCATCAGAAAGAACATACACACTACTTCTGCAAATCTTCAGACGTTCAACACTCAGATCGGTAAGTATGGCTGTAGTACACAAATGGCTGACAAATATTGCTGCTTGCTTCGATTCCAATGACAACTGCGAAGAGACAAGAGGGCAAGCGAGCGGCAGCGGTGCGGGAACTCAAGCCTAGCCCGAGTGGCAGGAAGCGATGCGATTAGGGTAGGGCCGCACGGACCTCAAGCGGCGGGAACCAAATCCTGAGTAGGATCGAAGAACTCTCCCGCCCGCCGAGGCGGAAGCCTATGGGCCGAAGCGGCCACACCCTGCAGGATGTACTAGGAGCGTACGGTAGCAACGGCGAAGTGCAAAGTTGTGCGGTGAATTCGGTTGGCCTCCCATCCTCACAAGTTGCGTTGTCCGACTGCAATGCGATATTGATCACATGCAATAGTGATTGTGGATGACAGACGATAGTCGCGAGCAACGTGGTTGCGGACGACATTATTCACGGACGATAGTGATTGAGCATGACGTGATTGCATGTGACATTGATCACGAGTGATAGTGGTCGCAGGTGACGGATTGGTCACATGCGATATTGGTCGCTGGTTACGGACGATAGTCAAGGGCAACGTAGTTGCAAGCGACAGTGGTCGCAAGATGACAAACGATTGTCGTGGGCGACAATGATTGCAGATGAGGGATGGTTAATCACAGGCATAATAAGTCGTGGAAGACAATTTTGATAAATTGCGGGCGACGATAATGGTTAGTCGCGGGCACCATTACTCGTGGGCGATGATTTCGGTCGGTTGCGAGCGCAGTTAGTCGCGAGCGACGCTTAGTTGCGAGTGCAGTCAGTCACGAGCTAGACTCGGATGTAGTTAGTCGAGGGCGACGGTGAGAAAAAATTACGGATGACAGTCAGTTGCGGCGTAGTTAGTCGCAGGCGACAATGAGAGACAATCACGGATGATAGTAAGTCGTGACAATGAGAGTTAGTGACAAGTGACAGCTAGTTGCGGACGCAGTTAATTGCGGCCAATAGCAAAGGACAGTCAAAGATTCATTTAGTTGAAGCGACGATGAGTCGTGAGCGTAAAAAAAATAATTTCGCAAAAGGATTATCTTTCAATATGTCTAGCTCATTGAAAAAGTGGGAGAATAATCTTGTTTTTTCAATGTGCCTAGTTCGTTGAAATAGAGGAATAGTGTTCAAGATCTCCATATTGACAAGTATAAATCTCTACTCACATATATGTTGATAGTTTAAGAGTTCAACGGTTACTTAACTTAAGTTAAAAGGTATATTATTTAACTTGATATGAGAGATTAAAAGGCTAAAAGTGCATTGATTACTTAGATTCCTTAACACGAATTAAGGGAAAAATATGGTTTTAAGTTAACTTTGTATATTATTACTCTAAATTGTTATGGTTACGACTTAGTTCTAGTTAACTTGGATTTAAAGATGGTCTTGTGTTAGATTTTCATCTAAAACTTCTCGCGAAGTAATTATATTGCTTAGAAAGGTTACTGAATTTACTTAACACAAGTTAAGGTGGAGAAATGGTTTTTAGTTACCTCTATATATCATTACTCTATACTATTAAGGTTACGACTTAGCTCTAGTTAACTGTGGTTTAATGAAAGAGGCTTGTGTTAGATTTTCATCCCCATGAGTAATAATATAGGTTAAAGAGGTCACTCAATTTCCATAACACGAGTTAAGAGAAAGATTGTTGATGTCAATTCCGGTTAAGAAGTAACGTATGGACCTAGATATTTATAGCTGAAACGTTGCTTGGACTAGGGGTTAAATACTCTGAACTCTGCCTTGTACAATGAATTGTTCTCAACAGACCTTGAATAAAAGGTGTATTGGTGTTTCTAGTGGACGTAGCCCTCTTACCCCGAGTATGAACCAACTTACATATGTCTCTCATGATTGGTTGATGATTCTAAGATTTTATGTTTATAGTCTATGAGTATGAGATTATTATCATTTAAATTTTCTGCCAATACA